TATTAGAATGTCGTCCATAATATGACTGACTGTCCTTGTTTTCCAATTGTATTAACTGGTTAATCGTGCGCTAAATATTCTCGGTGAAGATGCAATAGCAAAACACAAAATGAGTTTACGGAAAAAAGACCTTTATGTTTATAATGGTTAGCTTCTGCGACTCTTCATCAAAGGAATTTGTAAATACATTGCTTCAATAACCTTGAAAAAATAACGCCCACGGAGAGTTTACAATATAAGTCGTCTATGTTTGACGTTGGGTACTTATCACCTGTTGAGTGATGTACCAGTCACCCTTCTAAACCGAGAGGTGTGCCCTGGTTTCAAAGCAAATATGCTGTCGTATCCTGAAGGTGATTGAAAAGTTCTGAAAATTCTTGCTTCAAATCAGTACATAGTAAAAATGGTTACATGTTGCTCATGAGTCAAATGGCAATTTCTTCTCAAAATCTCGTCCCAGGAATTTAGATCCCAACACAGGTGCCACTAAGACATTTTTAATTACCAGTATTTAATGTTTATCTGTTTTGCATCTACCTTAGCTCGCCCATTATAAGGATTCCTGAATTCGTACGCAACTTTTTTCTTAGAAAATTCATGCCTTTTATCACTGCAACCAAAAAAAAATCCTATATTTTGTTCGTCGTCCACATCTTTTATCTGTATCTCCTCTCGGCCTGTGAAGATAATTCATTAGTGGTAGACCCTTGTAATATTTTTGCAAATTACATCGGACAATAAATATTTATATATATATTCCTTCCTCGGATATACACGGATTTATTTATATATGGTATATATATATATAGATGCCAAGTGTTTCCAATAGGATGTATTTGAAATAGACTCACTTGTCTTCCTGTTTATCTATAACCTGTAACTTTCTGCTATCACGAGGTGTTTATATTTATGTTCAACAGTAGATGTTTTATTCCTTCATATAAATGTCAGTTGATATATATATATATATAAAATCCTCCTAATACGCCATATGATTTTCCCCAATGGTACTAAATAACGTCGTCTATATATATATGACATTCGCTATATAAATAAACTATTTATATATCCAAATATATATAAATATTCCCGAGTCTACACAGAATTTATAGACGTCCATATATATATAAAAAATAGTCTGAGAAAAAACTTTCTCTTTGCCAAATCTATATATATTTATAGACAACATGTTAACTAAATTTCTCCCTGCATGCATTGTTCATATTGTCTATATTTATGGTCAACCATTATGGCAGAACCCACTACTAGGGAGTGCTGCACACAATGGCAACAAAAGCACTTCTGGTTCGTGCTTATTTGCAAACACTTTTATTCTTATGCAGTGTGTATAATTAAAACAACAGCAATAAAAAACAAAAGCGGTAGTGTTAGGGAAAAGTAAATAAATTATTCGAGTTTTTTATCGAGATAAGCCAGATGCCAGAAATTTATTAATTTAAATTTATTTACAGCCTTGGCATTTCTTCTCATGGCATAACAATTCATGTATTTTATTTATATTCTCCTCCTCTCATTTACAACTCCATCCATATAGAACATTACTTTAGTCTGATTAATATCTTTTAAATATTCAGAAACGAATTTAATAATTTGTCCAATTTTGTATTTCTCAGTATAGTGTCCTCATATATATATATATATATATATATATATATATATATATATATATATATAATGAAAGCAGAGTCATAGAACCATTGGTAATCATTTTTTCATGGGATCAAACACCCATCTCATCAGACCAATAAATGGATTTTAAATTATTCAGACACATAAAAAAATAAAAAAACAGAAAAAGAGAAAAAGGAAAGAAAAAAGAAAATGGAAAAGGTTAGAAGATAGAGAAAAAAAACGGAGTTTTCAAAATATAAATAGAGATATTTTATATATATATTTAGGGGAAGATAGACACGGGAAGGAGAGATATTGATATAAGAAAATATGAAAGGTTAAGCAGTCAGTCAGACAGACCTATTATATTATTCTTCCTTTTAATGGACATGATAAGTAAAAGGCCTATATATTATATTCATCCAAACATTTAAAAATAAAAGGGGTAATAAAGAAAAAAGATTATTTAAATAAGAGGGAAAGATAGATTTCAAAATAAGGTTACTATAGGGACACAAACATGGAAAGACATATATAGAGACATGGGATGGGAGTATTTAGATATATGGATTAACTAAAATATTCTTCCCTTTTTCCCGCGGATATATAGAAAAAGTATTTAGAGACAAATATGTTCAAAAAGGAATATATTCAAAATACGTAATATGTCTTTAGATTCATTCAGTGGAAAACGTCATCAATCATAATCATAAATAATTTCAAAAAAATGTTGATGATTATGAAATAATAGTAGTTATAAAATATTATAAAAGAAATTAAAAAACAAAATTTTGATTAATTTGTGATAATCCATTACCTTATATTCTATATATATATATATGTTATCCAATCAAACACTAGTCTACAAAAGAAAATTCTCATTTATAACAGCCCAAAAAAAAAATATATGCATATAGGATTGATGGCGCTCAAACATATACACACATTTTCACACACACCTATAAAATAAAGAAATTCGAACCAACTTACCAATTATAATTATACATCATTTATATTTGCCATAATTATATATAGTTTAAACTAAACTTATATTAATTAACCTATATATAACAACCTTTTGGCATACTCAAATTTCTTTTTAAACAAACTTATAATAATTCATTTAAATATATATGATTTCATGAAATATATATTCACTACATATTAAAACAGTAACAAACAATTGAATTCATTTAAATTTTTAACAGTTCAATATACGCAACTTTATATAGGATTAAGAATAAATTTATATAGGAAAGTTTAAGGTATTTATTAAAAAAAAAACTGTAAAATACGAACATTTTTTATATTTTCATTGAACAGCAATACTCTTTAATTCTTATAACAAATCATCAAAATATATCTTTAAGCATTCAAACATACTTAACAACAATATCACATGTATTATTACATCAACATACAACAAATCAAATGGATTAAAACCTTTTTATATAATTTATATATTTTTAAATATATATATTTTAACATTAATATTTTGTATATTTTAGTTATAGTTATTTTGCTATTATATGATAGAGCCGGTCGAACATAAATCCGACATTTGAATATATTCGGAGCAACGATATATTTTTTCATTTAAATAATGGTTAAAGATATATTTATATTTGCACATATCTAATTTTTGCAAATTTATTCTACTATATCCAAAATATTCAATATAATTTTATAAGTAAAATTGAATATAAACAAAAAGTTCTATGAAAGAGTGTTTCCAGTAACTCGGATACTTGTTTTTGTTAAAAAAATGAGCTATCATTTACGACGAATCTGTTTTTGTTATCTAAATTTGACTTAAATTTTTTCTTAAAAGGTTTTTCGCTCCTTTGAATGTTTTAATTTTCAAACGGTCGTTAATTCAACACTTAGTAATTTATGTGTCAGTTAAATCAAGATTTATTTGATCTGCTTGTATCGTGAAATTTTTTAAAATAACAGCAGTTTTCAATATTTATTCTTCTGCTTTATTTTAGAGATGAATGCGTAACTTTATTCGAAAACATTTTCTCAATCAATCAAAAAAAATATAACCTTTTTCCAAAGCCGTTCGACACTGAGTTCATCAAAATTGGAAATAATTTAAATTTGTGCATACAAAAACATGGGAATAAGTCATACAAAAGTTTCTAGTATTTTATGTTTACATTTCAGCTTGACTGATTGAAATGATAAGGAAATTGAGCAGAAAATATCCAATTCTTAAAATACCTTCGTTTCGTTTAAATGTCTGTTTGTTTTTCTGTTTCGTTTCAACAATTTTTTTAAGTCACGTTGTTTCATCTTAATTTCACTTGATACTTAATTATAGATTGATAGATAGATAGATATGAATAAAGATAGCTTTCATAGCTAGCTAAACTGATATAGAAAATACTAAAATAGGTATGAAAATTTAGATAGATAGATTGATTGATAGATAGATATGAATAAAGATAGCTTTCATAGCTAGCTAAACTGATATGAAAATATAAAATAGGTAGAAAATAGATAGATAGATAGATTGATAGATAGATAGATATGAATAAAGATAGCTTTCATAGCTAGAAACTGATATGAAAATACTAAAATAGGTATGAAAATAGATAGATAGATAGATTGATAGATAGATAGATATGAATAAAGATAGATTTCATAGCTAAATTAAAACTGATATGAAAATACTGAAATAGGTATGAAAATAGATAGATAGATAGATAGATAGATAGATAGATATGAATAAAAGATAGATAGCTAGCTAAACTGATATGAAAATACTAAAATAGGTATGAAAATAGATAGATAGATAGATTGATAGATAGATAGATATGAATAAAGATAGCTTTCATAGCTAGATAAACTGATATGAAAATACTAAAATAGGTATGAAAATAGATAGATAGATAGATAGATAGATAGATAGATATGAATAAAGATAGATTTCATAGCTAGCTAAACTGATATGAAAATACTAAAATGGGTATGAAAAGATAGATAGATAGATGGATTGATAGATAGATAGATATGAATAAAGATAGCTTTCATAGCTAGCTAAACTGATATAGAAAATACTAAAATAGGTATGAAATAGATAGATAGATAGATAGATTGATAGATAGATAGATATGAATAAAGATAGATAGATTAGCTAGCTAAACTGATATGAAAAATACTAAAATAGGTATGAAAATAGATAGATAGATAGATTGATAGATAGATAGATATGAATAAAGATAGATTTCATAGCTAGATAAACTGATATGAAAATACTAAAATAGGTATGAAAAGAGATAGATAGATAGATAGATAGATAGATAGATAGATAGATAGATATAAAGATAGATTTCATAGATAGAGGAACTGATATGAAAATACTAAAATAGGTATGATAAATAGATAGATAGATAGATTGATAGATAGATAGATATGAATAAAGATAGATAGATTAGATAGATAAACTGATATGAAAATACTAAAATAGGTATGAAAAACTTGATAGATAGATAGATAGATAGATAGATAGATAGATATGAAGAAAGATAGCTTTCATAGCTAGCTAAACTGATATGAAAATACTAAAATAGGTATGAAAAGAGATAGATAGATAGATTGATAGATAGATAGATATGAATAAAGATAGATTTCATAGATAGATAAACTGATATGAAAATATAAAATAGGTATGAAAATAGATAGATAGATAGATAGATAGATAGATAGATAGATAATAAAGATAGATTCATAGATAAGCTAAACTGATATGAAAATACTAAAATAGATAGATAGATAGATAGATAGATAGATAGATTGATAGATAGATAGATATGATAGATAAAGATAGATAGATATAGATAAACTGATATGATAAATACTAAAATAGAATGAAATAGATAGATAGATAGATAGATTGATAGATAGATAGATATGAATAAAGATAGATAGATAGATAGCTAAACTGATATGAAAATACTAAAATAGGTATGAAAAGATAGATAGATAGATAGATTGATAGATAGATAGATATGAATAAAGATAGATTTCATAGATAGCTAAACTGATATGAAAATACTAAAATAGATATGAAAGATAGATAGATAGATAGATTGATAGATAGATAGATATGAATAAAGATAGATAGATATATAGATAAACTGATATGAAAATACTAAAATAGGTATGAAATAGATAGATAGATAGATAGATAGATTGATAGATAGATAGATATGAATAAATATAGCTAGATAGATAGATAGATAGATATGAAAATACTAAAATAGATATGAAAATAGATAGATAGATAGATAGATAGATAGATAGATATATAGAATAAAGATAGATAGATAGCTAGATAAACTGATATGAAAATATAAAATAGATAAATAGATAGATAGATAGATAGATAGATAGATAGATAGATAGATAGATAGATAGATAGATAAACTGATATGAAAATACTAAAATAGATAAATAGATAGATAGATAGATTGATAGATAGATAGATAAAGATAGATTTCATAGAAAAGAGATTGATAGATAGATAGATAGATAAAAGATAGATAGATAGATATAGATAGATAGATATGAATAAATAGATAGATTTCATAGATAAACTGATATGAAAATATAAAATAGAGATGATGATAGATAGATAGATAGATAGATTGATAGATAGATAGATAGAATAAAGATAGATTTCATAGATAAACTGATATGAAAGATAGAATAGATAGATAGATAGATAGATAGATAGATTGATAGATAGATAGATATGAATAAAGATAGATAGATATGATAGATAAACTGATATGAAAATACTAAAATAGGTAGATAAAATAGATAGATAGATAGATAGATAGATAGATAGATAGATAGAATAAAGATAGCTTTCATAGATAGAAAGATATAAAAAATACTAAAATAGGTATGAAAATAGATAGATAGATAGATAGATAGATAGATAGATATGAATAAAGATAGATTCATAGATAGATAAACTGATATGAAAATATAAAATAGGTAGAAAGAGAGATAGATAGATAGATTGATAGATAGATAGATATGAATAAAGATAGATAGATAGATAAATAGATATGAAAATACTAAATAGATAGATAATAGATAGATAGATAGATTGATAGATAGATAGATAGAATAAAGATAGATAGATAGAAACTGATATAGATAAAAGAGATAGATAGATAGATAGATCATAGATAGATAGATATGAATAAATAGATAGATAGATAGATAGATAAAATGATAGAAAATACTAAAATAGATATGAAATAGATAGATAGATAGATAGATTAGATAGATAGATAGATATGAATAAATAGATAGATTTCATAGCTAGATAAACTGATATGAAAATACTAAAATATAGATGAAAAGATAGATAGATAGATATAGATAGATAGATAGATAGATAGATAGATAGATAGATAAATAGATAGATACAGATAAAATAGATATGAAAGATAGATATGAGATATAAAGATAGATAGAATAGATAGAGATAGATAGATAGATAGATATGAAAAAGATAATAGAGATAGATAGATAGATGATATGATTGATACTAAAATATAGATAGAATAATAGATAGATAGATAGATAGATTAAATAGATAGATAGATATAGATATAAGATAGATTTCATATAGATAATATAAGATAAAAGATACTAAAATAATATGAAAAAGATGATATAGATAGATAGATTGATAGATAGATATGAATAAAGATAGATTTCATAGCTAGCTAAACTGATATGAAAATACTAAAATAGGTATGAAAAGATAGATAGATAGATAGATTGATAGATAGATAGATATGAATAAAGATAGATTTCATAGCTAGAAACTAGATAAATAGATAGATAGAAATATAGATAGATAAAATAGATATGAAAAAGATAGATAGATAGATAGATAGAGATAGAATAGATAAATAGATAGAATAAAGATAGATTGATAGATAGATAGAATAAAGATGATATAGATAGATACTAAAGATAGATAAATGAAAGAGGTAGATAGATAGATAGATAGATAGATAGATAGATATGAATAAAGATAGCTTTCATAGATAGATAAACTGATATGAAAATACTAAAATAGATATGAAAATAGATAGATAGATAGATAGATTGATAGATAGATAGATATGAATAAAGATAGATTTATAGCTAGATAAACTGATATGAAAATAGATAAAATAGATATGAAAGATAGATAGATAGATAGATTGATAGATAGATAGATATGAATAAAGATAGCTTAGATAGATAGATAAACTGATATGAAAATACTAAAATAGATAGATATGATAATAGATAGATAGATAGATAGATAGATAGATAGATAGATATGAATAAAAATGATAGATTTCATAGAGCTAAACTGATATGAAAATACTAAAATAGGTATGAAAATAGATAGATAGATAGATAGATAGATAGATATATATGAATAAAGATAAATAGATAGATAGATAAACTGATATAAAATATACAAATAGAGATATAAAAAGATAGATAGATAGATAGATAGATATAGATAGATAGATAGATAGATAGATAGATTGATATGAAAATACTAAAATAGATATGATAGAGATAGATAAATAGATATGATAGATAGATAGATAAAATAAATAGAGATAGATAGATAGATAGATAGATAGATAGATAGAGATAGATAGATTGATAGATAGATAGATAGATATAATAAATATAGAACATGATAAACTGATAGATAATACTAAAATAGGTATGAAAATAGATAGATAGATAGATAGATAGATAGATAGATATGAATAAAGATAGATTTCATAGCTAGCTAAACTGATATGAAAATACTAAAATAGATAGATATAAAATAGATAGATAGATAGATTGATAGATAGATAGATATGAATAAAGATAGCTTTCATAGCTAGATAACTAGATATGAAAAGACTAAAATAGATAGAAAAAAGATAGATAGATAATGATAGATATAGATAGATAGAATAAATTTATAGAATAGATAGATAAACTGATAGATAGATAATGAAATAGGTATGAAAGAGATAGATAGATAGATTGATAGATAGATAGATAGATATATAGATAGATATTAGCTAAACTGATATAAAATACTAAAATAGGTATGAAAGATAGATAGATAGATAGATTGATAGATATATATATATGAATAAAGATAGATTTCATAGATAGATAAACTGATATATAAATACTAAAATAGATAGAAATAGATAGATAGATAGATAGATAGATAGATAGATATGAATAGATAGATAGATAGATAAACTGATTGAAAATATATAAAATATAGATAGATAGATAGATAGATAGATATATAGAGATATGAATAAAGATATTTCATAGCTAGAAAACTGATATGAAAATACTAAAATAGATATGAAAATAGATAGATAGATAGATTGAAGATAGATAGATAGATATGAATAAAATAGATAGATAGATAGATAGATAAACTGATATGAGAATACTTAAATAGGTATGAAAATAGATAGATAGATAGATAGATAGATAGATAGATAGATATGAATAAAATAGATTTCATAGCTAGCTAAACTGATATGAAAATAGATAAAATAGGTATGAAAATATAGATAGATAGATAGATAGATAGATAGATAGATAGAATAAAGATAGATTTCATAGATAGATAAATAGATATGAAAATACTAAAATAGGTATGAAAAAGATAGATAGATAGATAGATTGATGATAGATAGATAGATAGATAATAGATAGATAGATAGATAGATAAATAGATAGATAGAAAATAATGAAAATATAGATAGATAATAGATAGATAGATAGATAGATAGATAGATAGATAGATAGATAGATAGATAGATAATGAGATAGATAGATAGATAGATAGATAGATAGATAATAATGGAAAATTTGTGATGAAAAGAGATAGATATAGATAGATTGATAGATAGATAGATAGATAGATAGAAAGATAGATAGATAGATATAGATAGATAAACAGATATAAATAGAAAATAGATAATAGATAGATAGATAGATAGATTGATAGATAGATAGATATAAATAGATAGATAGATAGATAATGATAGATAATACTAAAATGAGAAAGATAGATAGATAGATAGATTGATAGATAGATAGATATGAATAAAGATAGCTTTCATAGATAGATAGATATGAAAAAACTAGGTATGAAAATAGATAAAAGATAGATAGATAGATAGATAGATAATAAAGATAGATTTCATAGATAGATAAATATGAAAATATAGATAGATAGATAATATATAGATAGATAGATTGATAGATAGATAGATATGAATAAATAGATTTCATAGCTAGAATAAACTGATATGAAAATACTAAAATAGATATGAAAATAGATAGATAATGATAGATTGATAGATAGATAGATATGAATAAAGATAGATTTCATAGCTAGCTAAACTGATATGAAAATACTAAAATAGATATGAAAATAGATAGATAGATAGATTGATAGATAGATAGATATGAATAAAGATAGATTTCATAGATAGCTAAACTGATATGAAAATATGAAAATAGGTAGAAAATAGATAGATAGATAGATTGATAGATAGATAGATATATGAATAAAGATAGATTTCATAGAAACTAAACTGATATGAAAATACTAAAATAGATGAAAATAGATAGATAGATAGATAGATTGATAGATAGATAGATATGAATAAAGATAGATTTCAGATAGATAACTGATATGAAAATACAAATAGATAAATAGATAGATAATTGATAGATAGATAGATATGAATAAGATAGATAGATAGATAGATAGATAGATAGAATATATTTAAGATAGATAGATAGATTGATAGATAATTACATATGAATAAAGATAGATTTCAGATAGATAAATATGAAAATACTATAAATATGAAATAGATAGATAGATAGATTGATAGATAGATAGATAGAATATAGATAGATAGATAGATAGATAATAGATATGAAAATACTAAAATAGATATGAAAATAGATAGATAGATAGATAGATAATAGATAGATAGATATGAATAAAGATAGATTTCATAGATAGATAAATGATATGAAAATACTAAAATAGGTATGATAAATAGATAGATAGATAGATTGATAGATAGATAGATATGAATAAAGATAAAAGATAGCTAAACTGATATGAAAATACTAAAATAGGTATGAAAATAGATAGATAGATAGATATTGATAGATATATATAGATATATAGATAGATAGATAGATAGATAGATTTACATAAAAGATAGATTTTTAAATAGATAGATATAAAAAAGATTGAAATAGATAGATGAAATTATAGATAGATAGATAGATAGATTATAGATAGATATTCATAAAAATATTTGAAGAGATAAATATGATATAGAAAATTCTAAAATAGGTATGAAAATATAGATAGATAGATTGATATAGATATAGATATATGAATAGATAAAATAGATAGATTTCATAGATAGATAAACTATATGAAAATACTAAAATAGAGATTATGATAAATAGATAGATAGATAGATAGATAGATAGATAGATAGATAGATATGATAAGATAGATTTACATAGCTAGAAACTGATATGAAAATACTAAAATAGATGAAAAGAGATAGATAGATAGATAGATGAGAGAGATATGATATGAATAAAGATATATTTCATAGATAGATAAACTGATAGAATGAAAATAGATAAATAGGTTGAAAATAGATAGATAGATAGATAGATAGATAGATATAATAAGATAGATTCATAGATAGATAAATGATATGAAATATAAAATAGGTATGAAAAATAGATAGATAGATATATAGATTGATAGATAGATATATATATTAAATAGATATTTGAACTAGATAAATAGATAGATAATAGACTAAAATAGGTATGAAATAGATAGATAGATAGATAGATAGAATATATGAATAGATAGATTCAGATAGAAACTGATATGAAAATATTAAAATAGATATGAAAATAGATAGATAGATAGATAGATAGATAGATATATAGATAGAATATATAGATAGATTTCATAGATAGATAATTGAAAATACTAAAATAGATATGAAAATAGATAGATAGATAGATAGATAGATGATATAGATATGAATAAAGAATAGATTTTCATAGATAGATAAACTGATATGAAAATACTAAAATAGGTATGAAAATAGATAGATAGATAGATTGATTGATAGATAGATAGATATGAATAAAGATAGATTTCATAGATAGATAAATAATATGAAAATACTAAAATAGGTATGAAAAGATAGATAGATAGATAGATAGATAGATAGATAGATAGAATAAAGATAGATTTCATAGATAAACAAAGATAGAAAATATAAAATAGATAAATAGAATAGATAATATAGATAGATAATAGATAGATAGAATAAAAATAAGATAGATAGATAGATAATAGATAGATAATACTAAAATAGAATAAAAATAGATAGATAGATAGATTGATAGATAGATAATGAATATGAATAGATAGATTTCATAGATAGATAAACTGATATGAAAATACTAAAATAGAGATAGATAGATAGATAGATAGATAGATAGATATAGATAGATATGAATAAAGATAGATTCATAGCTAGATAAACTGATATGAAAATAGATAAAATAGGTATGAAAGATAGATAGATAGATAGATTGATTGATAGATAGATAGATATGAATAAAGATAGATTTTCATAAAGAAACTGATAGATAGAAATAGATATGAAAATAGATAGATAGATAGATGGTGATGATAGATAGATAGATAGATAATAGCTTTCATAGATAGATAGATATGATATAAAAATAGATAATGAAGATAGATAGATAGATAGATTGATAGATAGATAGATAAATAAAATAGATAGCTAGATAATAGATAGATAGATAGATAGATAGATATGAACATAGATTGATAGATAGATAGATTGATATATAGATAGATGATAATAGATGATAGAGATAGATAGAAAATAGATAAATACTAAAATAGGTATGATAGATAGATAGATAGATAGATAGATATAGATAGATATGAATAAAGATAGATTTCATAGATAGATAGATAAACTGATATGAAAATACTAAAATAGATATGAAAAAATAGATAGATAGATAGATTGATAGATAGATAGATATGAATAAAGATAGATTTCATAGATAGCTAAACTGATATGAAAATACTAAAATAGGTATGAAAATAGATAGATAGATAGATTGATTGATAGATAGATAGATATGATAAAGATAGCTTTCATAGATAGCTAAACTGATATGAAAATACTAAAATATAATGATGAAAATAGATAGATAGATAGATAGATAGATAGATAGATATGAATAAAGATAGATTTCATAGATAGCTAAACTGATATATAAATACTAAAATAGGTATGAAAATTGATAGATAGATAGATTGATATAGATAGATAGATATGAATAAAGATAGATTTCATAGATAGATAAACTGATATGAAAATACTAAAATAGGTATGAAAATAGATAGATAGATAGATAGATAGATAGATAGATAGATAATAAAAACATATTTAGATAGAGAGATAAATGATATAATGAAAATATAAAATAGAGATGAAATGATAGATAGATAGATAGAAATAGATAGATAGATAGATATGAATAAAGATAGATTTCATAGATAGAGAACTGATATGAAATAGAAAATAGGTATGAAAATAGATAGATATTGATAGATTGATAGATAGATAGATATGATAGAAGAATAAAGATAGATAGATAGAAAATAGATGAAAATAGATAGATAGATGAATTGATTGATAAAATAGATATGAAAGATAGATAGATAGATAAATAGATACTAAAATAGATAGATAGATAGATAGATAGATTGAATGATAGATATGAATAGATAGATTGATAGATAGATAAACTGATATGAAAATACTAAAATAGGTATGAAAATAGATAGATAGATAATGATTGATAGATAGATAGATAGATATGAATAAAGATATATTCATAGCTAGAGCTAAACTGATAGAAAATACTAAAATAGGTATGATAAATAGATAGATAGATAGATTGATAGATAGATAAAGATATGAATAAAGATAGAGATAGAGATAAATAATATGAAAATACTAAAATAGATAGATAGATAGATAGATAGATAGATGATAGATAGATTGATAGATAGATAGATATGAATAAAGATAGATAGATTGATAGATAAACTGATATGAAAATATGAAAATAGATAAATTAGATATAATGATATATTGATAGATAGATAGATATGAATAGATAGATAGCTAGCTAAACTGATAGAAAATGAAAATAGATAGAAAATAGATAAAATAGATTGATAGATAGATAGATATGAATAAAGATAATGAAATATATTGATAGAAAATAGATAGATAATAGATAGAATATATAGATTGATAGATAGATAGATTGATAAATATAAATTGATATAGCTAGAAACTGATATGAAAATACTAAAATAGGTATGAAAATAGATGAATAGATAGATTGATAGATAGATAAATATGAATAAAGATAGATAGCTAAGCTAAACTGATATGAAAATACTAAAATAGGTTGAAAATAGATAGATAGATAGATTGATAGATAAATAATATAATAAAGATAGATAGAGAGCTAAACTGATATGATAATATAAAATAGGTAAAAATAGATAGATAGATAGATTGATTGATAGATAGATAGAATAAAGATAGCTTTCATAGATAAAAACTGATATGAAAATACTAAAATAGGTATGAAAATAGATAGATAGATAGATTGATAGATAGATAGATATGAATAAAGATAGCTTTCATAGCTAGCTAAACTGATATGAAAATACTAAAATAGGTATGAAAATAGATAGATAGATAGATTGATTGATAGATAGATAGATGAAATAAAGATAGATTTCATAGATAAACTGATATGAAAATACTAAAATAGGTATGAAAATAGATAGATAGATATATTGATAGATAGAAAGATAGATTGAAAGATAGCTTTCAAGCTATTGAGAACTGATATCAAAATACTAAAATAGATATGATAATAGATAGATTGATAGATAGATTGATAGATAGATAGATATGAATAAAGAATATATTCATAGATAGATAGATTGATAGATAAAATACTAAAATATTGAGAAAATAGATAGATAGATAGATAGATTGATAGATAGATAGATAGAGAATAAAGATGATTTCATAGAATAATAAACTGATATGAAAATACTAAAATAGATATGATAGATAGATACATAGCATATTGATAGATAGATAGATAGATTATAATGAAACATATTGAGAGATAGAGATAGATTGATAGATAATGAAAACATATTGAAAGAAAATAGAGATTGATTGATAGATAAATTGAATGTATTGATAGAGAGATAGATTTCATAGATAAATGTGATATATTGAGAGAAAGAGATAGATTGATTGATAGATAATGAATATAATAAAGATAGAGAGATAGATAGATTGATGATAATGAAATATATAAAATAGGTTATGAAAATAGATAGAGAGATTGATAGATAATGAAATATAATAAAGATATAGATTGATAAACTGATAATGAATACTAAAATTGAGAGAGAGAGAGGGATAGATTGATAGATAATGAACATATTGAGAGAGAGAGATAGATTGATTGATAGATAATGAACATATTGAGAGAGAGATAGATTGATAGATAATGAACATATTGAGAGAGAGAGAGAGAGAGAGAGAGAGAGAGAGAGAGAGAGAGAGATTGATAGATAATGAACATATTGAGATAGATTAAAATATGTATCCACATCGTCTCCAACAGCTATGGGTTAATTAATTCAAGTTGTATGTATAAATCATTATTACCTAAAAAAATATATATCTTACAGTCTAAAAATATTTTCTGGTTTTCAACAGTCCGTAAAAGGTTAATAAATTGTAGAAAATATTCTAGTTCCGCTTGCCAAAGTTTACCCCATTGAGCGAAATATAGGGTTCAGTTCGATATTCCAACCACCTGAAGAAGGCCGGAGCGTTGTGATTAATTAGGCAACAAATATAAAGATAATAGTCAAAACACTGTAAATAGTGTACATAAAACTTAATCTCAGAAATATAGACAGATTCCAAATGGCAATTGTGTCTTCATCTGGCTAATGCCTTCCCATCTTCTATCACATACTGCCAATTATCGTCAGAGATCAGCCTAATGCATAACATGCGTTTAATGTCGAAACGTTTAAGACTGATTAATCAGGTACTCTTAATTCGAACACAGCGAATTTTTTTTTATGCTTGTTTCATATTACACTGAAATAATGCTGTTCCGTATAAAAAAAAAATAAAATCGATACTTCTATGAGTTGAGAATTTTATGGTCACAGGTTCATAGCTTAAAAGAAAAGCCATCTTGAAGATTTCGAAATGCTAGAACTTCCTCGTGATGGGAAATTTTAGACACCGTCTACAACAGCGTATGGAGGATGTGACTTTTTAAATGAAATGAATAAAACTGTAGCGCTTTCCTTAAATAACCATGAATTTTTTTTTTTTTAATAGCAATTACCTTGGTACTTTCGTCAACCTTTCAAATGTGAGAAATATTTCTACTGTGCCCTGTACAAAGATTTTATAAATTTTAACCGAAATGATTTCATTTGCTCTCTGAGTGGATAGTGAATATTTCCTTATAAGGAAATGGCTCATGTTATTATTATTATTATTATTATTATTATTATTATTATTATTACTATTATTATTAGCAGTAGTACTGTTTTGGTTTGGTTTGGTTTGTTTTGTTTTGTGGCATATTAACCTGAATGGTTTGTTTAATGCTGACAATATGTTTATTTCTGGTAATATTTTCTTTTTTTCAAATATTTATTTCTGATACTATTTTTTTTAAAAAGTATTTCTGGTATTAAAATCTATTTTTACACTTTCATAGTGTTTTCAGTCAGGTTGTGGGGTCAACTATTTGCCCATAACTGAGACCCTAACAGATGCTACCGCCCCCGGATCAGGATGAACCTGGGACCACCAGCAATTAAGATGTGGTTCCACGCTCCTCAAAACCTCCTGATCAAAGCCTTGCTGTTTGATGTAATTTATCGTCTTACCCAGAACGCGGATACAAGTTTGTGTGTTAATTATTTGCCGATAGCTGGGACCCTAACAGGCGCTACCACCCCGGGTCAGAATAGACCTGGGAACATTAGCAATTAAGAGGTGGTTTCAGGACGCGGATGCAGTTTATTGTCATAACCAGGATGCAGAGTATTATTAGGTTGGTGGAAAAATAATGACGTAATAGTGTCGTTTTTTGACGTTAAAAAACGACATTATTACGTCATTATTTTTGCACCAACCTAATATTATTATTATTATTGTGCTTCACTAAGCTTTGTAAATGTGGATCAGAGAAGTCAATGAAAAAGAAAAAGCGATTAAAAGCATAATAGCTGATTGTATCTAAATTTTTCAAATGAATGTGGATTGTTTCATTTTTTGAACTTACGTCGTTATCTTTTAGATATGAAAACGTCAACACGGAAGTAAGTGGAAAACAATAAAAAAAACGGCCGTAGCATTTGTCTATGTTATAATGAGAGAAAGATGATATTGAAAATATTTTTTAATCATTTCGATTCTTACTGGGTGCTCATACTCGCAGCCTTGTGCCAAAACTAGAAAAATAATTTAGAAAAATAAATGTCAAATAGATAATTAAACTTGGTAACGACAACAACAAATACAACAACAAGAACGGAAAATAAAATCTGCGAGAAAACGAAACGCCTGTGATAGCGTCGGATTGGGGTATTCGGGCCAGGGTTAGGGGTGACACTCTCTTATCTCAATAGCCGTCAGCAACATTTTGGGAAGAGCTTGGAGTAGTGCCAAGATAGAAGAATCAGCAACTGTCGAAAGAAGACCGAGGTGGGCGGAGCGAAGCGATGGGAAAAGGTGCGAAGGTTGGCGCTCTAAAAGCGGCGATAGTGAGAGAGATGGAGATGTCAGTGGTAGGGATAATGACACGAGGCAAAAAAAAAAAAAATTAGAAGAAAACCGTAGAGACGGAAATGGAGATAGGAGATGGCGAACGTTTTTCGCAATTGTTTCTCTCGAGATTGCTCTCCCGACAAAGTTAACAAATACACAGAACCCTGTACCGTACGACACGACACAGTAAACGCCGGAGATTTGTACCAAGTTAAACTATCTTGCTTTTATAATAAAACGCTTGTAAAGCTCCCTCTAAATGATCTCTTCTGTTTCAGGATCCAGCTCTTATATGCCATGTCCTCTCAGGACGGGAAGGATCAATGCTATCAAGAACTTCCTATCTTATGTTGCTCTAAATAACTTTCAAGGCTTGACGATCACCTATTTGACCTTTTTGGTCATTGCTAAAGATGGTGGTACCATTCAAAAACGTACTCGACTCCTCCCGTAAAAAAAACAAAACAAACGAAACACTAATGCCAATCCTGAACTGGAGACGCGAAGTCCTCTCATTCCAGCCTTGATAGGTTCCAAAATCATTTACAGGTCCTTGTGGGTGATTAGTTTTTCTCCATTCTACAGTTCCTATGCTAAAGAAAACAAACGTCACAAGACTCTCGCCATTTCTGTGGCAAATGTCCTGACGAGTCACAATTCTTGCTTCTACTAGTTCAGACTTCCGTTTGGCTTGATTTGGCTTGGTTTGGTTTGGTTTACGGCATATTAACCGCAATGGGTTATTTAATATCAACAAGATTTTTGTTGCTGGTAATAATTTTTTTTTTCCAAAATCTATTGCTGGTAATATTTTTTTTCCTTCAAAAAATCATTGCTGGTAATTTTTTTTACAAAAACGTATTGCTGGTAATAAAAACTACTTTTACGATTTCGTAGTGTTTTAACCCCAGTTTTTTTTTTGGTGGGGCGAGTTAACTATTTGCCCATTACTGAGATTTTTAAATGAAATGAATAAAACTGAGGCTCATTCCTTAAACAACAATGAGATATATATTTTTTTTTTAATAGCAATTACCTTGGTACTTTCGTCAACCTTTCAAATGTGAGAGATATTTCTACTGCACCCTGTACAAAGATTTTATAAATTTTAACCGAAATTATTTCGTTTCCTCTCTGAGTGCATGGTGAATATTTCCTTATAAGGAAATGGCTCATGTTGTTAATATTATTATTACTATTATTAGCAGTAGTACTATTTTGGTTTGGTTTGGTTTGTTTTGTTTTGTGGCATATTAACCTCAATGGTTTGTTTAACGCTGACAATATTTTTATTTCTGGTAATATTTTCTTTTTTCAAATATTTATTTCTGATACTAATGTTTTTGTTAAAGTGTTTCTGGTATTAAAATCTATTTTTACACTTTCATAGTGTTTTCAGTCAGGTTGTGGGGTCAACTATTTGCCCATAACTGAGAGCCTAACAGGTGCTACCACTCCGGGTCAGGGTGGACATGGGAACACCAGCAATTAAGATGTGGTTCCACGCTCCTCAAAACCTCCTGATCAGAGGCCTTGCTGTTTGATGTAGTTTATCGTCATACCCAGGACGGCCAGGCTTTAATTTCGAAAACCCGCATTGAGAGGTATATTATGACGACAATTCTTTATTCTTTTCCTATTCCATTTATGAGAAGAAGATTCCAGGTGACCAGAATCGTTACTATATGGAACAGACACCCAAAAGAATGCTTCTTCGATCATTAGAATCAAAATTTCTCCAAATTTATGGTCAACCATTAACATGCATATTCACATAAAGTGCACTTCTTATCCAACTCTCTTACGTCCTTGCAACAATCTCATTCAGCAATCCTCTACCCTGAGTGGTACTCGGGCCTTGTATTGATAGAACAATTACTAAAACAAATCTATACAAACTCGTTAAGTAGGTTATTCGATGTTTTATCCTGTTTATCTTACCTTCTGTCATTTATGTGTGTTAAATTCTCCAAGACCTCTTTTCTCATTACGCGTTTCAGAAAAATTTCACCTGTTCTCGTTCTGAGCAGGAAAGAATTCCCCATTATCTGTCTATATTTCTGAGATGAGGCATTGTAATTATTTACACTATTTACATTGTTTGGACTATTGTCCTTATCTTTGTTGCCATATTTACAACGTTTCGGCTGTTTTACTCTCCGGCCTTCTTCAGGATCTATCTATATTTCTGAGATGATGCATTGTAATTATTTACACTATTTACATTGTTCGGACTATTGTCCTTATCTGTGCTGTCATATATACGACGTTTCGGCCGTTTTACTCTCCGGCCTTCTTTAGGATCTGTCTATATTTCTGAGATGAGGCATCGTAATTATCCCCTGTTAACTACGGATACGGGGTCATTTTGGACATTGGCTGCCATTTTGACCTTGTCAGATAGATAAGCCTTACTATCAAAGCAAGAGTAAATTGTTGTGTCGTCAGCGTAGATAACAAGTATGTAATCAGGAATGTCATTAGTGAAAAAATTAAAAATAAAATGGGGCCAAGGATGGAGCCCTGGGGGACACCGGTGTTAGTACGAAATGATCTAGACATGTTCCGGAGAAGTCTCATTTTACGATTTGAAAGGAAAGAATGAAGCATTTCAAAAAATGTCCGGAGACGTCGTAAGTTTTCCGCTTATGGAGAAGACTTGAATGTCAACGGCTTTTGAGATTTACAATGCAACAGCTCAGGTTTCACCGTTTTTATGATAAACACTTTTCGCAAATATTGTCAGTACTTCAGCAGCTGACATGGAGAAACGAAAGC